TTTTGCCATTTCTGGAATTTTTGAGAAGGAGGTGTCAGTTGAAGGTTACACAGCCTTCAAAAGGAATCCTTTACACGTCCTTACCATGTTCAGGTCGTGCTTCAAGTGCCATTCAACATCAGCCAGCAGAGCTTCTGGTAATTTCACCAGATTCTCCAGACCAATTCCTGCACGTGGCTCTAACTAAAGCTCACCCCCAAAACGGCCTCAGAGCTCACATCACAAACAAGTGTTTATCACTACAGACTCTTGCTCTAGGCAACACGAGAAGTACCGTGGTGGGGCTCAGTGCTGGAAGAAACAGAACATGATAGACGAGTTACCTTCATTTCCCTTCCTGGATTTTATATTCACAGCTAATGAAAATGAATAGGAAAGCTGTCCTTATTATTCCTCAAGGGTTTTGGTTTTGTGATGACTTGCAGCAAAACCAGCTGGGCTATGATAAGCTGATCTTCTGCCCACAGTGAAGCCCCCCCTGGCTGGGTATGTCTACACAAAGGGATCACTTCTGCTAATACTGGTGGTGACCACAGTAGGCTGCATCTCAAAAACCTCCTTCATGTGTCATTACATCCACTCAGTACTGTCTAGGTCCATTCACTTAGCAAATGAATTTTGGGGACTAGCAGATAGAAGTTGCTTGGAACCCTGCCTCCAGTAATGATTAATATTTAATACAAGGTTTGTAGATTAGGTATAATATCTTCTATTGCCATGAAAAGCTGACAGTTCTGGGAGATCACAAGTCCTTTTTTAGTTCTAAGAGGAGAAACAAACTTTCAGATATGAATGCATTTCCTCAGGCCTAAGAAAGGTTTGTACTCCTGAAGGCTTGCCTCCCTTGTAAAACTGTATTATGGGTCTAATAATAAACCATCTAAAGATCATTGTGGCTATACACACTCTGGCACTCTGATGTCATTAAAATCAAAATGAAGAAAAGCTGGAATTATACCTCTCACAAAAATACAATACAATCCTCCTCCAGGGAAAACTATTTACCTGTTCTTATGCAGGAAAGATCATGTTAAGAAGGTCACATGGAAAGAAAGAGCTGTCCACCTATTACTGAAATCCATCTCCCTAATTTTCTGCCTGAGTAGTTCAATCGAGGAACACACTGGGAGGAGTGATAGAAACAAACTGTGCTTTTACATTTTCCAGAGAAAACAAAAGAGCTGATTTGACTCTCATTTCTGTTAGCAAACAAGTCATTCCTAATTCACAGCACTGTTAACAAAAGGAAGTTCAGAGAGAACAGCTTAGATTTGCAGTCATTGCAAGAAATACAATTCAGGAAATATCCAAGAGGTTAAAGTTATTTAAAGAGATGAGAAGATAGAAACTACAGTCCTAGTGACAGTGTACAGTTAATAAAAATTAATGGGATGCCTTAAGTATTCAGTGGAGATATTTCTCTCATTCTTGCAAACAGAAGTAATGTCATGTAGGAAACCTTTTAAATGAGAAAGATGTGTGTCTTGTGAGGCTCTACCAGAAACAAAACCTGTTTTCTAGAAAGGAATGCTAACTGAACAGATTCTGGTCTCACTTCCTAATTCTAAAACTACGCATCTGTGACAAAGGGCAAACCACTTAAAATTCAGCATCTCCTAGGGAAACCGGTAACAAATGCAATGAGCCATTAATTCCAAACAAAAGTATTTTTTATTCCTATAGGCAAAGAAAAGCAATTCCTATACCAACTTCCATATTACAGGATTCCTGGAGGGATGACCATACTAAAAATGAGCAATGTACTTCAGTTACTTATCTCCAACAGTGACAAGAGCAAGACAGTCAAAGTAAGATGTAGAAAAATCTGCCAAGGAGAACTTTCTCCCTGACTTCACGATGCCATGGTTGACTGACTGCACAAAACGTGTGTCTATATTCTTTAAAACAAAGATGAGTCTGGGGCTAGCAGCAGATTTTCTCATTATTCCCCTCTGAGATCTTTTTAGGGACCAAGTCTGTGCCCAGTGACAGCCCCAGTGCTGTGAACACCAGCACTGAGCTGGACAAGCTCAGCACAAGTGGGGACACCAGCGGTGACGGGTGAGTGAGGGCAGCCAGCAACACGCGCACGTGCAAGCTGGAGAGGGGAGCAACACACACCTCAATCCTCAGGGATCACACGTATGGGTCTGACTCTGGTTTTGGAGGAGTTGTCTGCCTCCCAGTTTCTTCATTTAGAAGCCCCTTGAGAAGCTGGGGTGCCCTTGAGAATGTTTAAAAGAAAATTCAGGAACTTCCTCAACAGAGCTGACACAAAAGATCAAGGGACTTGATGCACTTGTGATAAAATACAGCAGTTGGACAAAGGATTGAGGATCACAGTGATACTGAATGCTGTGTTTAGGTGTGAAATGTGGTAGTTCAACATCTCTGTGCAATTCTAGAACCTACCACAGACTTAGATGTGGACTGGGAGCCAAACCCTGTGCTGACACAAGCTCTGAGCAAGTCTGGGGTGTCAATGCAGTTGTGACAAGACAAAAAAGTATAGCTTGGAACACTTTGGAGTTTGAGAAAACAAACTCTCCCTCCTACCCATGAATTCATCTGAGTGCCATGAGTAACTGTGCAGTGAGGGGGAGGAAAGAACATTTACACTTATAAAACAAACCTCCAGAAATCTTTTAAATAGAAAAATCACCTGTAGGAAAAATGAAACTGAAAAAAATGTACCCTGAAAAAAGCAAATCAGAACTGTAAAAAAAAGGATATCATAATAAAATCAAAGTTTTCCAGCTGTGAAATAGGAAAAGGACATTTTTCATTAAAAACCCTGACTCTTTGAGGTGCTGAATTTTAAGTTTCTCCCTTTAAACAAAGCATTAAAACCCTACTAAATGAGTCCAAAATAAGATAAAATAAGTCTGAGCAAAGAGGCAAAGCTGGCCAGACTGGAAGTCCTGGGCATTGCAGTATGCATATAATTTTGCACCTGCTGAGGAGCTTTACATGGGGATGTAATTGTAACACAGTACTTTACACATGTTCTCTAAAAGTAAGCTCAAAAGTGTCAAGAGGCAGATTTTCAGGAGAATGAAACCAGGCAGTTTCCCATTTCATCAATGCCCGCTTTCATTTATAGGGCAATGTAGTAACTGTTTAAACTCAGGTGTCATACCTGAGAGACCTTATGGAGTTACTACACCTAGGAAATGCCAAGGAGTTGTCCACCCTGTACGAGCAGTACTGTGTGCAGCAGTATCTTATGCAGCCAGCAGGTTAAAGACAGGGAGTCTTATTTCAAGTTACAATAGTATCATGCTTTTTGAAGCACATAGCAGCAACGTAAACATATTTCAATATTTAATGCTATGCACCTCATATTCTAAAATACTTTTTGTGGAAGCCTATGCTAAAAAAATATGGAACTGTGAGCCAGAAAACGTATAGTGTCCTTCAGAATAAGAACCCAGGGTATACACTTATTTAAATCTAATCCATTACATTTTTGCCATTGTCTTTCTTCCCTAGCCTAATTAATTACCTACCTCTCTGCTTTTACTCCAAAACACTTGCTTAATAGAGGACAAACAAGCTTAGTTTTGTTAAGCAAAGAAAACCTCCTTTTCTTTATGCTGAGTTACATAAAGTTCAACATAATCTCTTTAGAGAATGGGAAAATAACTGTTTCTGGGAGCCGAGCATGGATATACGGAGGCCAGCAGATAACTGTGTGAATCTTAAAATGCATACAAAATGCACCTCTCTGAGAGCAGTAAAAAAAAACAACCAAAAAACCCCCACATCATATCCCCTAAATTACCTCAGAGCTGCTTGCATAAAGGGTCCAGAGGCAGTACACTATAAGAACAGAGACGTGAGCCGTGCAGAGAGCACACAGCAACGCTTCTGTTGGACACTCTGTGTGCCTGCAGCAGCAAAAGGGCAACTGAAGCTCAGGTGCACAAACAGCTTTAAAGGACTTGGCAGATGCATCAAGCAAAAATCTGAAACTACAAATCAGGTAATTTATCAAATAATTTCCTTTTTAGCAGATTTTACCTTTCTGTCTAAAGATTGCTCTGAGTCAAATTGCCTGTGTGAGGTTCTTAGGACTGTTACTCAAGGATTTCATCAGAACTGACAAAAGCCTGCCAATAAAAATGAACTCATTTTCTATTTGGGAAATTTGTAGGACTTCATAAAATTGTGCATTTCTTTTATGTTCTGAAGATACATTTAAACTAAATTACTGCTTTAGTAGTATTAAAGATGTATTCCATTCTACTGAAGGAACTCTGCTTACTGTAAAATAAATCCCTAAGCATGTTGGAAATCCAGTGCTAGCTAGAAGAAATAGGAAAACACTTGGTATCTGGGCAAGAGGTAATAGAGGATACCATTATTATTATTATGTCTCTGAAAAAAATATAAAGTACTTCCCTCATTTCTTTCCACGCAAGAAATCTCCCTGCCACACAGAGCACAGCTGTCTTCTTAGCCTGACAAATACCCAGGCACATGGCTACTTTGAATGTATAGAAAAAGATAGCAAAAAACTAGTGGATCATTTAGGTTTGGCTTTAATTAAAGGTGGAATGGAAGTGCTGCTAATCTCAGTATCATTTTAAAATTAACTCTAGCAAAGGGAATTGCCTGATGGAGGCAGCAGATATAGATGTCTATACCTTGTGCATACAGAGTTCAAGGGGGAAATTATGTTTGCCTCTTGGCAGAAGGCAGAGTAAAATCACTGTTTTTCAGAATCACCTGTGCCTTAGGAAGTTCATATCATATTTATTCTGCCAGAAAAATGAACAACTACCTGGTTTTAATTATGAGGAGTTTAGATGCTGTGAAGGATAAAAAACAAACTGAGAGGTTAGTAATAGAAATGAGGAAAGACCCTAAGAGACTTCAGTCCCTGCAGCAGTGCCATATTTGTTTTTCAGTGTTTGGAATATTGCGGTTATTGCTAGGTTTGCTTGCTCCATCCTCCTCCCCTGTTCTCTGTCCAATGGAAGTTGCAGGAACCCACAATGACATCCATCCAGCTGCCACTGCTACTCCTCTGCTTGACCTCGTGTGGTGTTTGCTTCAACGGGGGACATCTCCTTCCAGAGGAGAGTGAGAACATGGGAAAAAGTCCTCTGGATTACATCCTTCAGGGATCTGAAAGCCTCATTCTTCAGTCTGCCCTCAAGAAAGCTGAAAAGGAAGAGATTAATAAAGGTACATATCTCACTGGGGACACCCATTTGGTGATGGCATAGCACTTGACTGAGATCATTAGATCCAATGTATGATTTCCAGTTCTCAATGTTCATGCTTAGCACTGGAAGTACGGGGAAGGGAAGGATAAGAGGGCTGCTGCAATACAGTGACAGATAGTTCTTCACAGATGCTTTCTCCTCGAAGATCTCTTCGCTCAGGAAAGGCTGTACTATCATTAAGCAGCTGCTGCACAATAAAAAAGTAGAAGCCTGCCACATAAAACCTGCTTGTTCAGCAGGTATTCCCTAGGGAAGCTCTAAGAGGTCCCATGAAGCACATTCTGCAGCTGTGGACCCTGTACCTAATGTAAATTCGAGGTGGGGGTGCTGCCATTCACCTACTGCCTTGATCCACTGGTTCCTACCCCCCAACAGAGACGGGCTTTTTCCACAGCTGGGAATGCTACAGCCTGCTCCAGTGTCTGCACCTCCCACCTTGTAGATGCTCTGCTACCAGTAGTCACAGCAGGGGAAGATCAGACTCAGGGATTGCAAGAAACAGCACAGAGGTACCTGCCAGCAAACAGGAGCACCGGGCCCTTCCAGAGTGGAAGACGAGCTGGCCACAGATGCCCACAGGAAAAGCCATTCTCCCTCTTCACATCAATGCTCAGAATTGGTTGTGTTGATCCAAGCACTGAAATATTAAAAAGAGCCTAAGAATGAGTAAGAGATACCAATTGTGTTATGACTGGTAGCTGGAAATACTGAGCTGGCTTTCAAAAAGCAGCAGATTATGATCCTGCTCCTCAAATTCCTTAGGGAGGATTATGGTGTTTTATTAACCTTATTCTTTTCCTTGGACAGAATCAAACACCCCTCTGCTACAACGGCTTTCCAAAAGACAACACCCTGGGAAAAAGTACCTAAGTAACCTGGAGAAGAGACAGCATCCTGGAAAAAGAGATGTTGAGGAAGAGGCATCCTATGGTGACATTCAGAAGAGGCAGCATCCAGGAAAAAGGGAGATGGAAGATGACCTTGATATCTATCTGGGGTTGAAAGGGCGACAGCCTCCCGGCAGAAAGTCACTGTTGGATCAGTTTGCTTACAGTCCTAGGGCACAGCTAACTTACATGAACGAGTTATCCAAAACAGAACAGCCAGGCAGAAGATATCCGATGCACAAGCCCCAGCGTCCTAGCAAAAGAGGCTGGAATTATGGGGTAGATGTATACGATGAGAAACGCCAGCATCCTGGAAAAAGGCACTGGAATTCTGACAGCTCAGATGACACAGGTCCCTGCAATTTTCAGGAGTCACTCACTTGTCACAAAGGCAGCTTGTTGCTTGATTTAGTAGATGTTAGCAGAGACAGGGTAGAAGAAAAGCGTCAGCACCCAGGAAAGAGATCAGCATGGGAAAGTGAAACAGAGGAGTGAGAAAATAATTGTGTAGCACTTGCATTTGGTGAAGTAAATTGCCAGATCACCAAAACATCCCCTTCACTCCTTTTTGGCTTCCTGCTGCTGACCTCCGCACCTACCTTTCAGTGTGTTAATGCTCCCATCCAAGTTAATGGCTTTGTCACACACTTAAAGCAAAGGAACTAAAGGACCCATCTGAATGGAACAGGCAAGTACTGAGAACCTTAAATTCCCCCACTTTAGGAAGAGTACTTATTTTCTTAGGAGCCCAGACCCCGGAATAATCTGACTGTTTGTTCCTAAATAAAATAAATCAGGCTGTTAAATTTCTGTTCTGACGCTACTGAAGCAGAATAATTATATGATTTCATCTCACATCAGTGAAATCAGTAAATAGTGAGGAAGAAAAAAGAACATATGCCAACTGTTTCCAAATTAAATAGAACAGGTTTTCAGTTCTAAATGATAACATTCTGGACACCTGAGTCCTTGTACACTACAGTCTGTCCAGACAGTGAGCACTATAGAGAGACAGGAACAGTTTCAACTGGAGCAAAATAAATTAGTGACTTCATAGTTTGTCTTGGAACTGGCACAGGAAAACCCTCTTCACCTAAGAGGCTACAGAGTGCAAATGGTTAATGCATCCCTGAACATCTCAAGCACACATTGTGACGCCCCTGACTGTGTACAGCTCACACAAGAACTCCCACCCTGGTGTGCCCACACTTGAAATCATGCCTTCTCCTTAGGCATTTAATAATAAAGCAAGAAGAGATCCTTCCCTTGCAGTGAGGATTTCTGATTTCTCTCCTCTCAAAGGAATGCTTTTACTTTCTGTGGTCAGACTTACAAAATTGTTTATTTGATATGAATTATTCAATAAACAAGAATAGTCAACTCTGGTGTCCTTACTGGTTGTGCAAACACACTGCAATAGTGCGAAAAACATACAACCAACTCAAGCTAAAAAAAATAACATCAAAGGGTATTTTTTTATGTACAATCTCTTTGCATGCTGGTGGTCAGCACATGCTTGTACTTAAAACTATTTAATTACTGAAGTGGAAGGATGATGGACTCCCTTTTAAAATCTTCCACCTGTATGACACACGTAATTATCCATCTGGGCGAAACTCACATCAATTGTGTCACCGACTTCACAGGGACCTTGACAAGAAGCCAATTTCCTGTTTGTGGTCTAAACAATAGATTTACTGATTTTTGCAATTAATGTGCAGTTACTGAGCACACTGTTACTCATATCACTTCTTGTACAGACATTCAAATAGTGTATTTTGCTAGAATGTTATTTTTATGAACAAATGAGTATATTTTCCATAAAGGTTCAACCTTGATAGCATTGAGACACATTAGCTGACTTGGAACTCCTCCTCAGTTGCAAAAGTCAGCTTTGCAGAAATCAGTTTAGCTACCCTGAAGAAAAACAATTCATCATCTCCCAAATTTCACTTAAGTTAGATGCTCACAAGCTGATCAACACTTAACGTGGTCTATCAAACAATTTCTACCTTTGGAGGTAATATGATGTTCAGTATGTGACAATGGACAGACATCATCTATTGACAGGGGGTTTCTAATAAAAAAGTGCTGAAGAAACCCTTAGAGAAGATAAGTGGGGACATTCCATATACTTTAACTTCCTTCAGCACACTTTCCGTATATGAAGCTTTTAAAAATGTTTCATTTGCATTTTATCAGGGAAAAACCGATTTCCCTGAAGAATACCATTTCATATACCATTTTTGGCAGTGAACAAATGCTTCTTAAACCTTGGGGAACACTACTTGCTACGAAATCTTCAAAATAAGTGAAAAACACAAAATAAAAAATATCAACTGGGCAAATATGGGTGACAGCAAGGATTACATATTTCAAAAGTTCCTTTTTGTTTTTTAACCCACTCCAGTATTCCAAATTGTCCAATTCTTGTTTTAACCAAAAGGACATTTTCTCCCAGTATCTGCATGAAAATTTCATCTCTATTTATTAATTTCTTCCTGTTTCCTGCGGTGGTGCAGACATACTAACAGGCAAGTACACTCTTTCTCCTACAGACATCATTCTCAGAGCATTGACCACCACAGGGGATTTCACACTTTTGTGACTATGAAGCACACACAAGCGCAAGTTCAAAGTTAAGTATTTCTCAGATTTATCTACACCTTAAAAGCTTTTTGGCTCTGGAGTTTGGCTAAGAAATTAAGCAGAAAATAGACAGCTTTTATCCTATAATGCTATGCTTCTTTGAATAGTAAATATAGTGCAATATCTTAGTAATATGAACAACTCAGATACATACATACTGTTCAGTTATAACGTAAGAATTAGTTAATTGCACATCTCTCTCTCATCATCTTAGTTTTATTGTATACCTTCTCCTCACTGTCACTTTTTATTAGAACTTAAGAGAATTTAATAGCCATGCAAACATCCACAAGTAACTAGCTTTGCTCTGTCACTCACACTGTGACAACTGCAGAACCAGGCCTTAGAGCTGCACTGTTCCCAGAGGAAGTGCACTATCTGTCTGTCACACAGGCTGGGGCTCTTCAGGAATGAGAACAAACCAGCAGCAGACTTGGTCCAAAGGTCATGGAAGTCAGTAGCAAAAATCTGCAGAATCTGAATTAAATCCACAGAGCAAAGCTGTGCAATGGCTCTAATATGGCAGCACAGTCACACAAAATCTTATTTCTAGCTTTAATTGAGACTAAACCCACGTTGCACAGATGAGTTCTTTGCTGATTCCATTGCAGTTTCAAATATCTGGGTATTATTACCAGTTACTGAGACATAAGGGAGCTTGATTCATAAAGCACAGATTTTACAAGTGTCTCCAAAATGAGTTTTGTTTTTAATGGGTGGAGAAGCTGGTTCATGTGAACCAGCTGTATAATTAACATTCCCTGCAACTATTTTCAAAATCTCTCAGCATCATTGTTCAATGCCCCCTCCCACACACTTATAAGCCTTGACCTCTTTACCGACCCACTGTAATTAGCATGGGCTGAGTGTTTCCAAGGGATATGTGGCCCCAACAAACACCTTTATTACTACTTATAATAGCTCATTAGTTGAAGAAAGTTTGAAAACAGCATCATAACCACACCTGAAGTATAGTCACTGCTTGCCTGGAAACTCAGTTAACATTAAAAGGTCAGGTGCAACTTTAAAGCATCAGTCAGGTCAGGACATCGTTATAAATAAAAAATATGATTGAAAGAAGTCAAGTGGAGAATGCAAGAGGGATGAGACTGTGTGAGGTCTAGATTGTGCAGAGACATGACACAAAAAATGAAGACAGGAAAGTCCTTTTGATTTTAGGAAATTTGTATGTGGACTATCAGCATTGAAGTGCAGAAGCCTCTCTTCCCCTTCTGACAGGAACAGCACAAACAACCCTGCAGGGTAATGAGGAAAGGTTGGACACACCTTCAATAAAACCAGATGGGAAACTCCTTGAGAAAAATGAGCTTATGTACCTGCCTTCAGACTACTTTTAGACTTGTGTGAAGACATTCGTTCTTTGCTTCCTTGATGAAACCAATACAGCTTAAAAGTACTAAGAAGGAAACCAAGGAAAGAACATTTGTCAGCTACCAGCCAATTCACCTTGTCTCCTTCCACGAGATGGAAGGAACACTGGCTGAAGGAGTGTTAGTAGATCATAAATTGTATTGGTATGCTAGAGCAGGATACCTGTTTCTGGTAGATACGGGGCATTCAGATACCAATACAATGGAAGGATCCCAGCCAAAGGATGAAACCACTCTTGAACTCATTTCAGACACTGTGGTTTGAACTGACAGCCAGTGGTCCAGACAAGACAGCAGTATGTCACAGAAGGGGTGACTGAAGGAACACCTCAGTTCCTCACTTACAGCTAATATTTCCTCACTTTCTTCCTGTTCATATGCATTGGAAAAAGGGGGAATCTGGACTTCATAGATTGCACAAATACTCCTACAAAATGGAATGCAGGTAAACAAGGATCCAACATGCCACAGCTAGTTCATTGCCATCTTCTCTCTATAATGGATGTCATTAATATGCAGTATAGACTGATTGGTATAGGGAAAAATGTTAGATTATGACTCAGAAAACTAGTGATCTGAAGTGTCTGCCTGAAATATGATTGCTGATTTAAAGTAATTTTCACAGAGAAGCTTATGTTTCCACCATTAATTCCCTCTTGATTTTGAAGCTGGTACTGTGTGAGGTGTCTGAAGAAGCTTTGTGAAAAAAGAAGAGGAAGAGTAGAAAAGTCTAGACAAATGAAAAATATAGTAAGAATTTATGAAAGGTTCTCTGAGCCAAAACAGTCAAGACAAAAAGCAATCTCTTTGGACAAGCAAGTGGTGTTGAAAAAGAGAGCAATAATAACCCTACAAAAAAAATCATAAATCATTCCCTGTCAAATACCAGCTGGTAGAGGTATTCTACTTATTGCTTTTAGACATGCTGTCTTCAAGAAGGGCATTGCTTGCTGCACAAGTCTGTAGACAAAAGAGAAGATGAGAGTGCTAGAAGAGACAGCACCCAAATGTGGTGTACTTGACATTTGAAATGAGCCCTGAATGGAATCCAAGCATTGTGGTGTATGGCTTTTACAGAGTAATCCATTAAATTAAATGTAAATGCAAAGGAATTTTGAATCTTTCCATCTCTCCTCTTTATAATTCACCTACTTTATGTAAATGCTGCCACTCCATGGCACTCTGGACCAATATGACAGATTATTCAGCAGTGTTAAGGGACCAGTCAAACTTGAGATGATGACTGGCTTGCAGGTAACAAAGCAGTTAATCAAAAAATCAGATAAAAGGGGCTCAATGAGTAGTCAGCTGCCACTCTTACAAACCATGAGGCTGTCAGTCTGGATTGATGAGACTGCAAACACAGTAAAAATAATGGATTTGGCATGGAAATGTAGCTTCTATCCTGTCTACACAGACTAATTAAACAGATTTGTTATATATCAAAATGTTTAGTATAAGCAACTTGAGTATACTGAATATATGAGCTTTGGTAAAATGAACAGCAACATGAAAATATTTTAGTTCTCTGAACAAAATGAAAAATACAGGAAATCAGATCCACCTAAACAAACAAACAAAAACATCTCCTCTGATAAATTAAAATTAAAGATCATTAACACTGTAAGATGAGTTTTGTACTACCCATTTCAATGTTAGGAATTTTGAAAGGAATTTTTTAAAAATCTATGATTAAATTACAAAATTGAATTCAGGAAAATTTAGAAAACTGCATTAAATTAAATTAAGCGACCATTTCGTTTAGAGAATAT